TTTTTTTTTTTTGTGCTTATCTTGGAAATAAAACCGGTAAAAGCCCATCATTTATATCCATATACTTTTTTTTTTTTCTCTTGCTTGACTGCAACAACAGTTACACAAGAAATAAGTATACTGAAAGAAATTTTTTTTTTTTTTTTTTTTGGGATAGTATCAATTAAACAGTAATTTTGTTTCTTTTATCAAAAAGTTGAGAAGAAAAAAACCCTCGTTGTATCAATGATGGTGGCTTATATTTCACTGGTTTTTGTTCAACTGGTAATAGTTGTTGATTAATTTCCATTTATTTGAAAATGCAAACTCACGACAGCGTATAACGGAATAGAAACAAGAAAAAAAAAAAATTTTTTTTTCCCCACTCTGATATGGGGGACTATTTCATTTTCTAAACTCTATCCCACTGAACAGCAACAACATGAACATTACCAAACGAAACCTGGTGCTCAATAGACCAGTTTAGGAATTCATACCTGGAAAAAAAAACTGAAATAATTAAAACCATTATTTCTGTAAATATCGTTCGTTTCTGTCTTTTTTTTCTTTTTTTTTTTGTTTGTCTTTAAATTTCCTGAAAATTTTATCGTAACTTTGCCTTTTGTTTCTTTTACCAATTAAAATGTCGCCAATAAACTTTGACTCTTCTGCCTGCCTAAAGAAAATGTTGCCCAAACAGGCGTCAACAACAATAAAAGTGAATAAACGGTCCGTTGAATGAGAACTAAAATTCCTATAAACTTTGTCTCTAAACCGGTGGTATAATTTTTGTGTTGCTGCTGTAGTTAAAAAGTACCAAAAAAAAAAAAAAAAATGATGAAAAAAGATATAAGCAAAACAAAACAAATTTTTATCCAACAAAACTTACCATATTTCAGTTATTTTTGTTAATGCAAAGGAAAAAGTGATGAAAATTGAGAAAACCACTTTTTTATCTTCTTTCAAAACACACACACACAAAAAAAAGCTGTTTGTTAGAACTTAAAAACCATACAGTTTTTTCACCACTTTCACTGAATCATAAAACTCACAAATAAAAAACAGTTAAAAACTCAAAAAATAGGCGTAAAAATTAAGTGGAAAACTGCCTACAAAATAATAAAAACAAAAAAATAGAAAAAAAAATATAGAAATAAACTACAGACAAATATTGGTGCTGTGCAAAGTCTAAACATTTAATACTATATTTAAAAATGTTCTAATAAGATTGAAACCATTAGATAGTTTTTCCTACCATAAAGTAATGTAAACTTCCAATATGACAAAAAAAAAAGCCACCATTAAATGAAGAAAAAAAACTGTACGTTTCCTCTTCTGATAAATACATAAAATCATCAGAACTGAAAATTAGATAAACGAATTAAATAAAGAAAAAAAAAACTACTGTTTGCGATTCAGCAGTAATTAAAGAGATTTTAAAATCGCTTTTACCAAAAATTCTAATAAATATCTGTTCACCAACTACAGAATTGGAATTTGAGCAGTGAACAGAAATGAATGATGAATTCTATCACACTAATAATATAGCAATTTTTAGTGGTAAACAGCTAAAAAAAATTGATTTTTTCAATAGAAACCAGTGGTAGACTTGAAGAACAGTGAAAATTTGTTAGGTCAGTCTAAGAACCATATAAGAAGAAAGACGAATTAGTTTGGAACTGAAGAAGGGGATACTAATAAATACTTTATGCTTTGTCCGCTGCTTATATTCAACAATTTTTGTTAGTTCAAACAGCTTTTTTCATCAGCAATTTTCAGTCGAATAACTGATCAGATTTTTCAAAGAACATTGTTGCAATTATGTGAATAAAGTAGGAAGCAAAATTGTACTTTCAAATTTGAAACATTTTAGGCTTATCAGTGATGATTAGGTTTTCTTTACTGTCTTAAATTTAGGAGGTTTATACTCCAATAAATAATTTTGTAATCATTTAAATTTATAAACAAATGCAAAATTACAGATGCTTTTGTCAGTAGCGTACAAAAAAAAAAAATTAAATTTTTTTATTGTCTTTACTGGGCAGCAGAAATGCTGATAAAATGATACTTCACTTTTTCTTTTGTTTTTTTTTGAAAGGTGACTAACCAAATAACAAAAACGTTACGAAACAACACTTTTTTTTTTTTAAAAGAAAATACTGGAAAAATTAACAGAACCTAAAAATATTGGTAACCAAATTGTGGTAATATGATAAAAGAATAGTAAACAAGTTGTTTGTTTGTTGACAAAATGTTAGGGATCCGTAACGTAGAGCTCATGAAAAGATTGATCGATACCTTAACGTTAGCCAATCTGTCATGCCAACAAATATTACTGGTTAATGTAAAAATGTGCTGAACAGAAAGAAGATTTTGGAACAACAGCATAACAGTGACAGTGTTCTGACATATGCCGCACAGGGACGGACCATCAATGAATGATGATGGCGATGGTGGTGCCGGTGATGATGACGATTCTTCCTCGGCTGATAACAACCAAACCAACAAACTGTGTGACTGCAATATATGAAAAGTTAAGGTAAAAGAGGTTAGAAACTGCAAACAGAAGGAAAAGAAGAGGAAGACACAACAACGTCAAAAATCAAAATATTTCTAGAAGAAAAAGTCATTTTTTCAATTATTTTTATTGAAGAAAAAATTTTTTCAATCTATTAAACCTCTACAAAAGAAGCTTTTGAACATTGAATGCTGAATGTACGAGAAAAAAGAGACAACAACTGCAAAACTTTATTGTTAAAATGTTCAGTTAGTTCTTTTTAAAAAGCAAAAATTAAAATTTTTTTGACAGCCTCAGCGAGTTTAATACTTTCTCTTCCTCCGTTAACTCATTTCCTCCCACAACAGAAAAATTATATTGGTGTACAGTATACTGCTAGCAATTATCCTCTGTAACATGTAAACCTTCAGTTGATTTTTATCCTCTACCAACAACACAGCTTCAAAGCTTCTCACACTAAGGAAGCTCTCGATAGTCATCGAAGCCCACAAAATTATCAGGGTAAAAAAAACATGAAAAACAATTAAGTCATTCGCCCAAAATTTTTCAAATAAACCGTGAGCTATGTGAAACAGACGAGAAACACTGTGGATGATCGGAAAAAGCACCTCTCCGGTGAAATAAACAACTGAGTAGAATTTCACAAGAAAAATTTTTGAGCAAAATTCTGAGACCGCTTTATTTCAGTATTTTTTTCCATTACTGAGCTCAAAGTCCCTAACAGCAATTGGCATCTACCGTCTTTTTCTCTTTTTTTTTTGAGCGATACCGGAAATTCTGAACCAGAAACACCAGTCATTTTTCATAGGCTTTTATTTTTAAAGCCTGGTAATAAAAATAATATCAGTTAAACGACCGTCTGCACGTG